TCAGGGGCGGCGGCCCCAAGCGCCTGCTGTGTCACGGCGGCGCAAGATGGCGGCGCCCCCGCCCGCCCGCCAAGCAGAGGCCGCAGCCGGCGCGTCTCCAAAACCACCTTTATTGCCATTTACAGCTTTTACAGCGCAACGGTCGCGTCCGCAGACCTGTACAGGGCAGGGCTGTCAACACAGGGAGGCGGCGGTTACTAAATATTACAAAAATAAACCCGTTTCAGTGAGGGGGCTCCCTGCCCTCCCACAACTCGAGCGACCCCAATCCCGGGCCTTGGGAGGAGCCGCGGGGCAGACCCCGCTCCCCGAGGGAAGAGGCTTCATCTGTTCTCTTAAAAACATTTTTCAGCAAGAAAGCTACTGAGAAATTATTTTTCATTATTACACAAGAATGAATCCTGCTAATTAGCTCTGGTTTGTTTAGGCTATGTGCTTCCTGTCCTCATTAATCCGGGTGCCGATAAGGATACAAATGCTGCTGCCCAGCTACTGCCTGGGGCTCCCTCAGGCTCAGGAGCAGAGGCCACCGCAGCCATTACAGGTCATTCCCCACTTGCCCCCGTCCCCCCTCGGCCCCTCCGCCATCACCCGGCCCCATCTCCCTGCCCTCACCCCTCAGGGCTGCTATGGAGCCCCATGGGCTGGAAGAAAGCCTCTATGGCAGGGCAGGAGGTGTTCAAAGTACCCATTTAAGTCATCTTTGAACCAAAGCCAAGCCCCAGAGGTGGCTGAGTCAAGCCCGAGCCATCTCCAGCCGCCCTCCATCTCTCTGGCCCCACCAGGCAGCTGCCCTGGTACCAAAGTCTCCCTCAAAAACCTCTGTCACCATCTAGAGGCCCAAAGGGTATTCAGTATTTGTTCTAATTTCTTTCTAGATGTTTTTTTCTACATAGCTGTATTAACATATACTAACACAGTTATCTTATATACAGTGTTTAATCAAGTTATAAAAGTGACATTCTTTCAAAAGGTGCAAAGTTATTAACGTTTTGACACGTAAACTACTGAGGCGAGATCTGCATTGAAAATAAAACCTTTTCACTTTCCGAGCTCTAGGAGTCCCGCGGCTCCGGCCAAGCACAGTCGACAGTGAGGGGAGAGTTGTTAATAAGTGTTGTCAATGAAGAACAATAAATTAAAAAAAAATGGTTTTGGAACCAAACTGAAATTTTACTCAAAACTTTACACTAAAGGAAGGGGAGAAGGGGGTAAAGACAAAACCAATGACGTGTTCTTACTTTAGAAATCTTCCCAGTTTCTCCTTAAATCCCATGAAGATTCTATACTGAAGTTTGGATTAAACGCGTTGTTAGAATTTTTTCATGCATTCACATAATCACAAGGCTGTAGGTCTTTGAATTTAAATCATAACTGAGACGAGAGGGACGCTAACCTGTACACTTCTTCTTATAAACATAGTATTTCTTTAGCAATTATTCTACAGTTTTTCCATTAAGGCAAATTCTATTTATATGTATTGTTTTAAAAACACTACTCCAGCATTAAACATACTATTTAGTTTAAGCAAGTTTTAGACTCCTATGAGATGTTCAACTGGCTTAATAGGTGAATCCTTTCAATCCTCACCAAGCAAAGGCTTCCCTACGCAGCCTCCAGCGAGTTTGGAAAGGGGGTTACAGGGCCTGGCCTGGTCATTAAAGTTCATTTTTTTAAATAAAATATATTTTTTACGCTGTCCCACATGGATCAGCAATGTCCTTTTTAAAAAGCAAAGGGTCTGTGCGCTCACTGGGAATAAACACAGCCCTTTTGTCCCCGCCGTGTCACCGAGTGTGGCTTGGGAGTCCCAGAGATGGGCAACCAGCACAAAGTACAGCTTCTGGCCACTGAATGAAGTTGCCACAAGCACGTTTCAGATGAGACCCTCACCGACTGCCCTGGAGTTTTACAGTTTCTCTTATGTTTCCAGTGAAGACAACAACAAAGTTTCTCCTGAATTTAAAGTTAATCCAATCATTAGATGCATGATCTGATACAAAAAGATTTTCTCCATCAGTATGTTCATTTTTGTTCTGCTTTTTAATCCTGTGGCTGGGAGAGAAGCACTTCAAAAATCTACTCTTTGGCTGAAACCACAAATGAGTCCAAACATCAATCAGACACGTTCTTCCACAACCAGCTCAACACCAGCAATTTCCAAATTACTGTAAACTGAACAGCAGCGCAGCCGCTCTCCGCTTTTGCCTGGTTACTCAAGTAAAAACTTCCATAAAAGAGGATGCAACAGTAGGATTAGTTTTAATTACTGGACAGAATTTTTCAGGCCTCTCTCCCCCTTTACCCCCCCTCCCCGAAGTGTACCGCTTGGAAGAAAATGAATGCGTCAATTCAGTAATTGATTATTTCCAGTATTATATGGCTTCCATGGCTTGATATGGAACAACAAAAAAAAAATAAAATCCCACTTTTTGACATCACGTGCTCACAGAAAACTTGTAACAGGTATAATTCTGCCAAAGCTTTAAATTGGATTCTGCTTTTTCACAAGATACAAAACGGACATGACCTAATAATGAAAAACATGCAAACAAAAAACTTCCCCAAAACCTGAACCTGTGGGATTATACACACCAAAGTGCTTCAAAGGAAAGTTTAGCCTAGAAGCTTACACAGTGCCAAAGCTGCCAAAGGTAGTGCGGAATTGCTAAGCCTCCCAGTGGTAGCAAGCAATATATTTTTACATTTTAACCGCCTCGACGCTCCTGCCATGGCTTCCCAAGCTCCTGGGGTTTTAAGAACAGCATTTGACTTCAGAAAAAGCGCCCTTTTTCTGGCGCCCTTCTCCTGCCGTACGCCTGAGGTGATGTTATCACAGGTACACAGTTTAACGCTCACAGTGTCCCAAAGTTGTGAAGACTCTGTAACAAACAACTACAGCTCCAGCAGCTCAGGTTGGGTGTTTGTTTCCCCGAGTCTCTGAATTATTGACTGGTATTGAGAGGGGGGCAGGAGCTCCAGCCCCCCCGTAGTGCTACATACCGTAGGGTATTCACATGCATCTCTCCACGGGGAGTTATCCACAGCACTGGATTTCATCCTGTTGGTACCACATTAGCTTTTCATCCCTGCTCCCAGTTCCAAAAACTTCAGCTTCTTCGCTATTGTACTAAGTTACAAGGATATTATCTCTATTTTATTTAAGTTACGTAGTTTTCAAGGATGTTATGTGCTCTATCGGATATAGCGTATCTTCCTGACAAAGAAACTAGGGAGAAAAATGAAGAACCAAGGGTCCCTTTGAAAATTAGTGAAAAAGTGATTGAAATAATGATTTCAGGTGCAGCTTTATGGAAAGAACACAACAGTATTTAAATATTTGGCAATCCAACGTTAGTGATAATTAAATTCTTGATTGTTGCCGGATAGAATTTTTGTTAAAATTTACTTAGAAAAGCTGGTTTTTGCTATCGACAAAACCAGAGGAACTGGCTTGGAATGAAATCTAGTAACTAGATGTCCAGGTGAGATGAGCAATTGGTTCCGTAATTTCAGTATATGTCTGGACAGTCTGAGAAATTTCTATCAAAATAGCCACCTGAGTACAGCCAGTCTGCAGTCCCGGTGTAGGGGTTAGTGCCTTGATGAAACCATCTGTAAAAAAGAAAAGAACAAAAAGAAACAATAAAAGAAAAAAAAAAATAGAGGGAACAGTTATTAATAGGGGAAAAAAACAACTTCTTTCACAAAACATTGTAAGAACATACTAGTATTTCTTATCAGAAAAAAATTCTTAGGAAATATTCAGAACATGAAAAATAAGGCATTGAACTTCCTACACAATTTTAAGCACCCTGTAAAGCATCTTTTTAATTTTTTTTAATATATAAAGTCAAGGAGGAGTATGAAATGGATTTTAAAATTGCTGTCCTATTCCAAATAAAAATAGTTTTGCTACTCCAGACTATACATTAATTACAGATATTTATTTTTACTTTAAAAGAATATCAAATCAGTTACACAATCCTGTTTGTAAATCTGTCCAAACAGGAAACAGTTTTGTTCTGCGGAGCTGGACTTTGCTCAGAGCATTAACAGATGCTCCCTTTTTAGCCACGTTGACTGAAAACAATTTTATGTTCTCTGGAAGAGATTTTCAAAGGCATTAACTGGAATTAGTCTGGAGCTGCTCCTCCAGGCGCTGGGAAGAGAATGCTTTCTCTTCTGAATTCCATGAAATCATGGAAGCATCCCAAAGTTCTTGCCTTTGAGGAAGCACCTGCAGAAACTGGCCGAGAGCAGAGCCTGAATGCACTGCGGCGCGTCTGTGGAAAGCAGCCAGCAGAGCAGGAACCAAATCACATCTACACCCGAGATGTCACCTGAACACGCTATCAAAAAAGCAATTTCGGAAGTATCCAAGCCAAGAAGTCCTAAGAGTGCCAAAATAAAAGACCCTGGAGAACCACAACATCCGACTAAACCGCCAGAAGCTGGACAGAAATTGGTTAAAGGAGAGACGAGACTTAATATTCAGTCTAACAAAAATGCCACCTCTGTGGGTTTTAAAAAACAAACCCAAAAAAATCCAGCGTTGCCACAGGAGTTAATTATGACCAGCTTCAGCATTTGTTATTTGATAATTTCTCCAGGACGAAGTTATCAGAAATTTTGGCTTCCAGCTACATTATTTAATTGTTGACCCAGCAAATGCTTGAAGTGACACTACAAATTGTGCTGTCATGCAGGAAATCAAACACGGGCTGTCTTCAAACAACCCATTTCAAGCAGAATTCAAAATCCTGAGCACTAAGCAAGTGCCCAGCCTCCTTCCCCCTTACCGTGTCTGCCACTCCACTTCGTCCTTCGCACGCTCCTTGCGAGCAGCTCTTTGTTTCTCTTCTAGCCTCTCTTTTTCTTTGCTAGCCACATCTAACAGACATTTCAAGAGAAATTGGTTACTTGGCAAAATAGAAACACAACTCCAGAAAGCACAGAAAAGACTGCAAAAAAAAGAAATATAGTTCATTTCAGGAAGAGAAAGCCTTTGCTGTGCGCAATCGCACTGAACAACGGAAATCTCAGGCAACAAAAAATGAAAACTGGCATTTCAGAGAAGTTGCTACTGCAAACACGGAGTCAAAACTGAAGTCGTGGTGTTTTATCTGTCAGAAACACTGCACCCAGACAGCGGGAAAGCATTTCGATTAAGTGTAATAGAGTGATTTTTTTCACTATTTGGCCATGTGTTTTTTCTGCCAAACGCCAGAGCAGCCCAGCGTGTGCCTTCACCATGTCCCTCCAGACAAACACCAGAGCAAGAGAGCCCAGGTCTGGCAGGTGCCCCCAAGGTGACAAACACACACATACACCATAACTGGGGACAGGAGTCCTGGGATCCACCTTGGACACATGACCTCTCCCAGACTTTTCTGGGAGAAAACACACATCATACATTGTTCAAAAACATGTTCATTAACAGGGGATGAAAAAGAGTTAAGGCCACTTGGGAAGGAGAAAATGAAGACAGTTGTTCCTGTATCAACCAGCCTCCCTCCAGTCACCCCTCTCCAAACTTACTGCACTATTTCCTCCAGCAAACACATACCCATGTTTCCGTTCTCCATGTTCCTGATATCCGGACGTAGCCGGCAGTCGGTGGGAGCTAATATTGCTTCCATGCCTTTTTCCAGCTCATTGAGACTCACAGCAAAACTGGTAAAATTGTACATCTTAAAAACAAATTAAAGATAACATAGAAGTTATTTTGGCAAAGCGGCACAGGGTTCCCTGCACCCAATGGATACAACAGAACTTCCAAGAGAAATAACAGAGTCAAACCCTCTCCCACTGCTTACCCCAAAAGCAAGGTTGGGCTCATACAAAACTAGATGTTATTTTTTGTTGGAGGGGAGGGATAAGGAAGGGCAGAAGGGCTGAAGACAGTTCCTGTATCAACCAGCCTCCCTCCAGTCACCATGAAGACAGTTGTTCCTGTATCAACCAGCCTCCCTCCAGTCACCCCTCTCCAAACTTACTGCACTATTTCCTCCAGCAAACACATACCCATGTTTCCGTTCTCCATGTTCCTGATATCCGGACGTAGCCGGCAGTCGGTGGGAGCTAATATTGCTTCCATGCCTTTTTCCAGCTCATTGAGACTCACAGCAAAACTGGTAAAATTGTACATCTTAAAAACAAATTAAAGATAACATAGAAGTTATTTTGGCAAAGCAGCACAGGGTTCCCTGCACCCAATGGATACAACAGAACTTCCAAGAGAAATAACAGAGTCAAACCCTCTCCCACTGCTTACCCCAAAAGCAAGGTTGGGCTCATACAAAACTGGATGTTATTTTTTGTTGGAGGGGAGGGATAAGGAAGGGCAGAAGGGATGGAAATCACACCTTTCATTTTTTTAAGCTGTCTTTGCTTCAGAGGATCAAGGCAAATTTTCCTCTAGATGTAATATTTAACAGCATGATTTTTTTGAAAAAAAAATTACCCACACTTAAAAGACCAAAAAGTCTTGTTGAAACTATTGAAGTTAATATCCAGCTGTGCAATTACTGCATTTTTCTGGAAGCCTGTCCTCCAAGAGCAGGCGCAGCAGAAGGGGACGTGTGTCCCTGCAGCCACCCCGAGTGCAGAGACCTCGCAGGTTAACCCAAGACACCGGACTCGTTCTTTCCACCAGCTTCGACACAGCAGAGGTGCTTTCAGCACAGGAATGAACCACTGAGCTCGTGTAATATCACTATTACAGAGCCTGACAATCCGCACACTAAGGACAGACACTTCCATGGGGTTTCTCTTGAACATCACGCAGCAGAGACAGCAAAACACAGACTGACTGGAACAGTTAGTTACCTGCGATGAGTTTGGTGGCCTACAATTTATTCTCCAAAGCAATTTACTGCCTGGTATGAACTGCACCGTGTCTTGAACCTCTGGCATATCGTCAGCCTCATCATTTTCAGATTTAATAACATCTTCACTCTGAAACAGAGATAACTCTTGGCAGGGGAACAAAGGGAAATTGGACAGTTTCATCTAGAGTTTTACACTGACGGTTGAAGAATCTGTTCGAATTTGAGATATTAAACACGCTCCTGTACTTCTGCCTCATCCCTCATGTTTGCTTCACTCTCATTTTTATCTTAATGTCTTGCTCCTGAGATCTCTGAATAGTCTCTCATCACCTATCTACAACTTGAAAGTCTGTTTTAAAAAAAATAATAATAGTAAATTAATGTCTTCCAGAAACCTTTTCTCTAGCTTCCCTTCTATCCCAGCCACAGCTTAGTCTGCCCTGACCTGACTATTCCTTCTTCAGGTTGAAATGAGCAAAGAATGCAATTTAAGGCCATTATGAGAACTGGTTAAGAAAGACAATAGGGCACGTCTGCCTCCAGATATTGCTTCATCATTTGCAAAAGATTTGGATGTGCGATTAAAAAAAACAGATGCGCACTTGTTTCAGTCTGATTTCCTATGATTCAGAGTTTAATAACTATTATCATTGCCAATTTTCTCACTTTGAAGACTGTGTACTTAAGTTTATAAATACGGCAGCTTTCCTTCCAAGCTCTGTTGTTATCAGCTGCACTGCTCTAACGCAGATAGAAAATCAAATGCAGTATCTTCAAAGAGGCTGCTCCCAGAATCTGAGAGAATCTGTCGCAGGACACAGACAGCTACACTGTGGAATTTCACTGGATTTCACCATCAGAAACTTTTTAAAACCACACCCACCAGAAGGGAAGTTTGGGGGAAGTAACACCCGAGAGTGACAGTACCACAGTCTTTCTCCCTCCCCTCACTCCCACCTCCTTTCTATTTTCTTTCTGCCCCTTCTGACACAGCTCATTTATTTTATTCAAAAATATCCTATTAAGTTAAACAAGGCCTGTTTTATACTCCAGAAAACAGCTCCATATGGTTAAGATTCTAATTTCAATCATTTGGTTTGATTATTCATTATTTAAAAGACTCTTTTAGACAACTTTCCATGTCAACATCTGGTTTACTGTTAGATGGTTCCCTATCTAAATATAGATTCAACAGGAAGGAAGGAAAGAGTTGATTTTCAGACGATGAACAGAATCTTATTATTTTTTTTAAAAAAGTCAAAACATTAGCTTGTACCATGACAGACTCCAGAGCCAAAAGCAAGTACTGTTGTTGCTCTGGATTCTTCTGATGAGAATACTTTTAAAAAGAAGTTTGAGCCTTGTAACATTAAGAGTGATTAGCTTCTGTTTAACTTATTTGCAATGAGCAACCAAGGTGATGTGATGAAAAATCCCTACGTGCTTCCAGCCCCCCTTGTTTTCAGGGCTCTCTACATCACAAATTCTGATAGGCTGCATCACCAAAAACTATAACTGGCTTTAAGAACATGTAATTTCTTATCTTTTTTTGTTTTAATGCCCAAATCCTAGTACTTCTACATCTGGAGTTGGCAGCAGAACCACTTTCCTCCTTCAATGACTGGACAACATCAGCTGGGGGTTGATGTTTGATGACTTCTCTTCGACAAATCTCTGTGAGCTCTCTTCAATCCGAGCAGCTCACACTGAAGTCTGACCACACAAGTTCCAAGTGCAAAGCCTGCTCACAGGACTAACACTGCCCCATCTCTGACCCCCAACGAGACACGGACTGGTTTAACCCTCCATTCACCACCACTTCTGACCATTTCTATAAAGCAGATGCTTTCCTTTAATTTCTCATATTTCTTTTCTCCCTAAAGAACCCCTTAACCTTACCGGCTTCAATTTCTTCTGCTCCCCACCTCTCTTCTCATTCTTTTTGTAGGTCTCATACGTAGTGGGGTCAGTGCACCATAAACATTCTGTCCACTTGCCATAGATCACACACAGCTTCTTTCTGCTGCAGAGAAAGCAAGAGAGACACAGATTTTGCTTCTTATAAAGCCTTCGAATCCAAGTCATGCAGATTCTGATCTATGCTAAATACCCAGCTTCCTACTTTTTTTTTTTATTTTATGTTTCTTTGCAGATTTCTTATGATAATGCAAAGAAGTTTCAGCTTATTCCAGACCTCCTGGCATTCAGTCCCACAGAACGTGTCTCCATGACTCAGTCACACACTTTTCCCACTGCTGAAATGAGTGTGGGTGCAACAAAGCCAACATTTCACCAGACAGAGACTCAGAATCACCAAACAGGTTTGGGTTTGAATAAAATTTTCTAATAACCATATTCTTATTATTTTAACGTGAAGACTGGAATTGTGACTGTACAACAGTGAAATCAGTTGTGAGTACTCTGCATCTTCCCTGGATACCTTTACTTCCAAAGACCAGACTGGAGAGTTTTCCTAATAACATTTAAAATTATCATCCTGGAATCAAGGGATTTGATGCTGACACAGGGAAGAGAAATGGGTGACAATCTGCATTGCCACCAACTTTGCAGTCATGCCAGTTGCTGTCATGATGCCAGCACTGAAGAAATGACACAGTGCTTAGAAACAGAGAGGCCAAGAGGCTTTTCTCACTTACTTTTTGTCCTGAATGTATCCCTCTACTCTGTGAAGCTCCTTCCCAAACAGTCCACACGGTTTAAAGTTAAGGACACATTTATCTCCAGTACTGTAGAGGAAATAAGCACATACTTAGAGCAGGAAGGCACTAAATACATTAGTAAGTTTACTTTCTTACCTTATTTAGCTTTTTTCATATAGTTATGATTAGCTGAGGGATAGTTATTTGTAACATTATTTTTCTTTAGTTATGGTTTATTATCTGACCGGGGAATTAAACAAGGCACACACATTTCAAAGCTCCAGAAAATGGACAGAAAAGAAATCAATGTCCACAGGAAAACATCAGCCCGTGAAAGCCAACTGAAAACATGACTGCAATCTGAGTTTCAAGTATATCTAAAACATACCAAAAGTACTAGGAATAATACAGAATGCAGTCTTGTGTGCTACTTCACCCACACTATTAATTAACCACATTTCAGATTATCTGTTTACAGCTAACTGTAATGAGAAATAACTTTTATAAATGACCTACACAGGAAAATCTAGTGTTACGGGCATTCAAAAGTTACCTCTAAATTGTATACCAAAATTCTATTCCTACATAGGCACCAAAAAGTTCCTACGTCAGGCAGACAGAATCCAGGGACCAGCCTGGGGCTTTGGGCCAATGTAAGAGACAGGGTTGTAGATTTGATGCTGAGAGAAGCATCCAAACAGCAGCTGCTGGATTAAAGCTCCCAGTTATTGACAGAAAAACATGTGCAGAAGTAATACAGTCTTCACAAAATTCTCTCCCTCATCATTACTGGAGATAATTTATTTTATACAAAGCAAAAAGCTTTTCTATAGGCAGTTGGCAGAGCAATTGACATGCCCCAAGTTCCCATTATCAGTCATTTTTCTGTGCTGCACCCTTAATTCGTGACATTCTTTATTTTCAAAACTAAAAAGAGAGCCAAATCACGATGACCACGATGATGGAGGTCAACTGCAAGCCTCCAATTAATCCATTTAATGGTTCTGGAGTTAAATTTAATTTCTGTTCTCTGTCAATAGGGTTGAATTTGAATGAGTAACTCGCACACGTAAAATCTTTGTACCCCATAAGCCATCTAGCCCTGTGCCTTTTCATGAATATTATTAAGATACTAAGCCAAGTTCAATGAACATTATGCATTTGTCAGAAGAAAAAAGAAAAAAAAAAGCTAAGACTTTGGACCTACAAAGCAAAGGTTCCCTGTGTAATGTCATGTCACAGAAATCACAACTCTCTGCTTTGGAAGGGAAGTGCCCACCCAGCAGTCCCTAGAAGCCAACCCTCAGCTTCACAATTAGCATTACCTGTGATTTACAATTTCTACCGTTCCGTATTGTTCTAACCACAGTTTTCCAATAATTACATTATGTACACAACAGGTTGGATTTGTCCATGTGTAAGCTTCATTATGTCTGCAAAGAAAACAGAGAAGTACATCGTTTTCCTGAGTCTGAGATGGAATGGAAGCCTGTTTTCAATTCTCTTCATGACAAGGCAAAATATTTAGTGTTCCTGCGAACAGGCGGCAGTTAAATTCAAACAGAAAAGAAACAGACTTTTCTTTATAAGCCAACAATGTGCTGTATCTAAACAGTAGAGCAAGTGGTAACCCCCTTATTTTAATTCCTTCTCACAGAGTTGGAACAGTAAGTTTTATAGTTGCTGCACTTTTGATTACAGATTCCAGCCCAACATAAACAGCCGTCCAGCAATTCAGCATTTTCACTGGCACTTTTAAAGCCGTATGTGATAAAACTGAATACTGGCAGAAGAACACCTTTAGGTATGTGTTTGTCAGTCCAGTTCTCCTGCCAGTATTACAGTACACAGCAGCACCACACACTTCTTCCTCATGCTCTTTCTTGTAAACCTCTATCATAATCTGGAGTACCTTTTTTTTTTGTTGTTGTGATAAAAAAGCACTGAAGATAAATCTGTGAGTCTTCCAGCAGAGAGGTTAGTCACTGCCAGCTTTGAGTCAGGTTTGACACAAAAGGTTGCTCAGATTAACCCACTTGAACAGTTTCTGTTTTACAAACACTGGGTGGAAAAGGCTTTTGAACCCAAAGAGAGTGAAACGGGTCACCAGCTGCAGAAGTGATTTGCACAAATACACCACAAGTTTCCACATGGGTAGATGAGGCTGCTCCAGTGTCACTAAAGGCAATTTTGGGTGGCTGCGTGTGGTTTGGGGGTTTTTCTGGTTGGTTGGTTGACATTAGCGGGACACAATAGCACTATATTCAAGCTTCGTACACATGACATTTAAAAATCCAATTTATTGCTCAATTTCATCCTTTTCCCAAAGATTTACTGAGAAGGAAAAGTCCTAGAATTGAAGAATTTTCCATTTATTTTCATTCTGGTTGTCATGTTTTGTGAGAAACTTTACCAAGCTGAGTTAACAGATCCTAAATCCTTAAAAAAGGCATTATTCCAAAACTGGTCAAAATGTTAACCTGTCAGTCCTATTGTCACTGGCTTGGTGGAGTCAAAGCCATCTATTCTCACTTATGCTGGTAAAAGAAACACTGAAGTTACCTGGTTGGGAATCAATCCACCTTAGGAAAGTTTGCAAACTCTATTTTAATACAAAAAATACCGAAACAAGCAGAGTCCCCTTTGTAACAAATGCCTCGTTCTTCTACTCCCAGTAAGCGTGGAGAGAACACTCCTATTTAATGTTTCCAACTGGTCTGTCATTTTCCAGCACACAACAAAACCAGAGAGTCAAAGTCATTTCCACAGCAAACTGTCCTCAAGCACACTTTAGAACAATCACTACTGCTCAAGTGGGGGAAAAAAAAACCCCAAACCCCCCAAATTCATCCCGCCAGCCTCAGCACTCATTTTTATTCATGAACTACTCGACACCACCAGCTGCACAGCCTAGAACAAAATACCAGCCACTCCTGGCCAGCACTGATAAATCGAAACACTCACTTGTGCTGGAGGAGTGAGGAGGAAGAGCGTTTCCTAAAGCGTGTTTTGCAAACACAGCCCTGGGTAACACAAACCCAGCACTTAACACCGACTCCCAATTTCACTTCCCAAACAGCTCCTCCTTCACCCAGGCCCTGAGCAGTTCTCAATCTGCTCACCCCAGCAGAAGGGGGTGAATCACGACACCGAGAGGCTCGATTTTATTTCAAATCCTGCTGCCAACTTGAAGCAATTACTTAAAATAAATGATTTAATCATTTATACTCCAGTTTAAATCTGTGCCTTGTAATTTGATTAGGCAGAGCAGGAATTTTAATAGTCTTCTAAATAAAGGCTCTCTCTCCAGTAACAAACTTTATTTTTGTCACGTCTGTGTTCTACACTCACATTCATAGCTCCTTCAACATTCATAAGAAATTTCCTGTTTTCATCACCATTGGTTCCCCAAGTATCACCATGTGTCCCCAGGTGGGCCCCTCACCACAAAAAAGCCATTGAGGGACTGGAGTGTGTCCAGACAAGGGTGATGAAGCTGGTGAGGGGTCTGGAGCACAAGTCTTGTGAGGAGAGGCTGAGGGAGCTGGGGGGGTTCAGCCTGGAGAAGAGGAGGCTGAGGGGAGCCCTTCTCGCTCTCTCCAACTCCCTGAAAGGAGGGTGTAGCCAGGGGGGGGTCGGTCTCTTCTCCCAAGGAACAGGCGATGGGACAAGAGGAAATGGCCTCAAGTTGTGCCAGGGGAGGTTCAGATTGGAGAGTAGGGGAAATTTCTACACTGGAAGGGTCATTAAGCCTTGGAATGGGCTGCCCAGGGAAGGGGTTGAGGCCCCATCCCTGGAGGGATTTAAAAGCTGGGTTGACATAGTGCTTAGAGACATGGGTTAGTGATGGGTTTTATCAGAGTTAGGTTGATGGTTGAATCTTAAAGGTCCCTTCCAACCCTGACAATTCTATGATTCTATCCAAGACCAGTTCATATTTTTATAAGCTTTGGAAGATGAGATGCCAGCAGCTTGACAAATAAACTATACTTTCAAAAGAAGTCAATGCTTGATATGGCAGGCAAAGCTGCCTCTTTAGTGAAACCAAATGTCAAGAAGTTTCATAATTAGATATTTCAACCAACCTCAGAGTTAGGCCTGAGGAAAGCTTTTATAAAAGCATCTTTAAGTGTTCAATTGCAGAATACTTTTTCTGCAACTCTTTCTTAGTGGCTGCTTGTGTCCTACTGGGGAAAGCTCAAGAGTCTCTGTGCATTTTACAAGTTAATGTGAAAATTAACTTGTAAATAAATTCTTGCAACCTCATCAGCAATCAGCTCTGAAGGGTCAGCAAAATGATTACCACCTATTTCTTCATCCAAGTAAATGGTCAGGAGATCAACACAGAAAAGTATTTACTTCTCATACTCACTTCAGAAGCTCCAAAGTAATTGTTCCCCGAGGCTCCGCTTCTATGCTCTTCCCCCAAAATTTTAGTTTGGGATAAATTGATCCATGAAAAATAAAGTCCTTATTGAGGCCTTCAGAATAAAATGCACTAATAGGTGGGTGGTGGCTGACTTGCTCAGATATAAACCTAAATCCTAAATCCTCCCTATAACAACAAAAAAAAGAGCATTAAACAGGAAATATTTTTTCAAAATGTTACAAGAGAAAAGAGTTATTTGATACTTTTAAAAAGTTTGAAGGATTTTTAGATTAAACTGAAGGTGAGACTCTTCCCTTTCTAGTCCCACGACACATTTACAGTTCATGAAATGAAAGAGATTGTACTCTGAACAACTCTCACCTTCATACCCCAAACCAATGCACATTCAAACACCCAAATGACTTTCTATCCAAAAAGGGCTTTTGAAGAAATTTTACTGAAATAATTCTTGAAAATACTGAACCTCTTTGGGTGGCAGTGCAAGGTCTGACTGAAAATTCTTTTCTCCACCGCACACATATCACCCATTTATGGGTGGAAATCCTGCAGCCCAACTCCTCTACCTGACACGACCAGCAAGACTGTATTTAAATTAATTAACAGTCTCTGGTCAGGAAATGTCTTTTGTGAAAGAACACACACCATTTTTTCTCTGAATAATTTAAAGAATACTCCGCCTAAACCTAGAAATAAAATTATTAGCTTTTATAACAACTTCTCAAAGGTTCTGAGATAGTTTGGGGAAAAGATTTTTCGCTACAGTCCAAAATATATTTTAGTAGCTTTTTATTTCTTTCACGGAATAAACAACCAAACTAGTATGAGTCTGCCAACTCAAGAACACAAATAGCCCCAGCTCCCAATTTAAAGTAATTATTACCTGGTTAATTCATAGGTTTCTCCTAACAGTGGGTTAAATGGTTTGCCAGTTCTCTCCCACTGAGAAGCTACAGCAGAAACTGCAAAAGCAGCTACAGCCTATAATCAAATTAAGAACACATTGTTATGAGAACAGTACATTAAAGCTCTGAGCTTAATATTTTATATTTGTTGCACATTACAGTATTTCATTATTCTTCCAAAAAGGAAGCACTGTATGTTCAACCACTTTTGAAGAAGAAGAGAGTAATAAAACTTGTCTCTGTCGCAACAATTTTTCACTCCGTAACTTAAGAAATTCTGGAGCCGCTCAACTAATCAATTTAGGGTGACTTAAAGCCAAGATCTCATCTTCACAAGACATAAAACCAGTCACAGTTAAAGCAGTCCTGAAAAGATTTAGGGCCTTGGGCACCACCAGTTGCAGTGTGCTCCTGCACTAGACTTTGGCTCAAACTCTGCACAGCATCAAGTGTGAAAGTGTCACAAACACCCGATCCAGCCACTATGGAACCAGAAACTTGTCCGGACAAATCCAGACGTTCTTGTGATAGCCTCAGAGAAAGAAATACACTCAAGTGAGAAATTGTCTTAAAATAAAGACTCTGGGCGAGAAGAAAGTCTGCTGACTGAAGCAGAAGGTGAGTTACCTGCATTCTCTCCAGGGGGTCTGCCTGGCTACAAGCCTTGTTGATGAGGTATATGTGTTCCATGTATTCTGTTATTCGCTGAAGGAAACTCAATGGCTCGTTGAAAACAATGGGCATCGTAATCTTAGACAGCTCCTACATAACAAAAGGGTAAGTCAATTTCTTCAACACAACACGAAGTTAAAAACTGACAACAACAAGCATTTTGAAAATAAGCTGTGGGTTAGTTTATCAGTACCATTCCTCAAAAGCCATCTGGGAAGCCTATAGCAGACCTCTAAGTGCTAGAGCTGAAGGGCTAGAAACACTGCAGCACGCTGCTAGCCATCTGAAAGAGTAAGCAACCTCAAGAAGTGGTCCAGCCAACTATTAAATTCCAGAAAAATGTTACCTTCTATTCTGTGCTCTACATAAAACAGAAGAGGTTAAAATTCCTGTAGATAGCAGCAATACTGTGCCAACCAGCTCATTACTGATATGTAAGTACCACGCATTCCTTTGAAATCCTCACATACCTTTTTGCATAAAATCTATTTTACTGTGGTAACCACAAATTATTTTTTAAAAGGAACAGTTACATAAAGAATAGGATTTGAATTGCTCTAACAAATTTTAGTGGCTTTATTTAGAGCAACATGTTATTTGCGTCAGAATGTTTCTCGTTTTACACGTGGATACAAGACAGACATAGAGGCCACACAGAGATTTCCAATTCCCCAGGTCTTCTACCCTATCCAAGCAAATTTGGATATTTACAAAGTTTAATTACAAAGTTGCACTCATGACTGAGCCATAAAGCAACACTTAAGTGCTTAAAACTTAAATCTATCCCTTCAATCAGATGAAAGCAATTGTTTTTTGGCACAAACTGCTTACATTATGGAAGGGGGGAAAAAAATCCACAAAAAACCCCCCATGCTAAAGTAAAGCCCTAAATCATATTTTTCTAAGTAAACAATAAAAAAATCCAGAGAAGAGCATTGTGTTAATCAAACCATATTCCACTATTTTTTAAATGGCTTTAGTCTGGTTCTTACAGGACAGCATTAGAAATGCCAATCCACAAACTCCAATAGCTAAAGCAATGAGGAAACAGTACCATTACTAAATGGATGCTGAGATTTAGAGAGCTGCAGTTTAAGATGATGTTCCCTACAGAATAAAAAATGCAAAATGCACCACGTATTAATCTGTGTCTTAAGGTTTAAGCAATAAAATTAACCACTTGAAGTCAGGAGATGTAACATCAGCATATTTCATCCAAGCCAACTTACCAGTCCAATGCATTTTTTTAATATGCTCCACACACTAAAATCACTTCTAGAAAACATCGGGGCGGGTAATGATGTCCTGTAATTAGGAAAAAACAACTGTCATTATCAGCCCCTTAAACAACAAGACATTTTTATTTGTAGGCATTGAATTTATTTATAAATGAAGCAAAGCATTAACCTAGAGCTGACACAGGAAGCAGAGGAGTGAAATGTCTTTTCAGCTCCAGAGAATTAGCCTCTTCCAACATTAACAGAAATGGCCCAGAAGATAAAGAGCCAGCATGTACTCACTTCTCATTTACTATGTGGTACTACAGGTTTACCTGTGCCTCTTAAGTCCATTTTCCTGGATCTCTGTCTCTCCGTTCTGCTCCCCAGTCCTATTGCTTTGGCGTGGATCTAGATCCAGCATTTCTGCAACTTTGTGATTTGCTTCTGAAAAGTCTCCTGAAGAATTGTCGGAATCAAAGCCTGTAGAAAAACCATAAGGCAACAGTTTTCTTAGGAACCTTATTATGCCACAGAGCACCACTCACATTTTCTAACTCTCACAGCATAAGTACACTTACTCCAGGTTATTTTATTTTAAAGAATATCAGAGTGAAAACCCTTTATTAAGTGACCTAATTTCCTATTTAGAGCCAAGTATTGCATTAGAATCAAGCAAGTATTCTCAACTAATTTTTCACGCTGCTGAATCTAAAACCAATTTAGAATCTTGTAAGTTCTTCAGTAGCTCCTAATCAGATTAGCGGTATTGTCTCTTCTTCAGACTGCAGCATGATTACAGTCATTTTATTCAGTTAGGTAGTTTTCTTCAAAAGACCTTAAAAAAAGAAAATGGCCATTTCACAACCTGGCAGCAATCATCCAGACTAAGGCCACAGAAATGTAGGCTAACTGAATTCTTTTTGCCATCCATGTGTGCAAACCATGGAGCACTTCCCTAACGGTGACAGCAAGAACCTGTGGACACCCAGATGAGTCATTCCCTGAGCTCTAGGAGTGACCCAACACGTGACCTACCATCAGTGGATCCAGTTCCATCCACTTGGGAAGACAGCTACTGGAAATACCCTTGTAACTAAGTACCAGCACCCCCAAGAGCAACATGCTTTCAATGGCTTTAACCATTAAAAAAAAAAAAAAAGTTAAAACCAACAGGAATCTACAGGACCAAGAGCTTCTGTAATCATTAAGTGCCACAAGGGTCAATTCTTCATCAAGAACCACAAGACTTAAGTTTCCAGCTTCCAACTTCAGAGTCAGAACCCAAAAGCAACATGAAAACAGGCATATTTGGTGGCACACAGTTCTCACCACCATTTGAAGGAATACACTAGCATCATTTTTTTATTCCTTCATTCCAGCTATCACAACCTGGGCAACCACTCGCCCTTGTGCTGACAGTTACCATCACACCCAGCTACAGCCCTTCCCAAAGTCCAGCTGTGGGCACAGAAAGATTCTGAAATATAGCAAAGCACGTAAAGACCCTAATGGAGTCAAGAAATCAGCTTTGACAAAGATCATTTCAACTTTAAATAGAGTAAAATGTTGTGATCCTCTGTCATTAACTTTTTAAAAATAGAGAGTATCTATCATAAGTAGTACTTCAACCTTTATTTCTGTTTACATCTCCAATAGGGTGTTTTACCTTTATCAGAGCAATTGATGCAAGACACATGTTCAGAAAAAAAAAGCTGCATTTTTTGCAGGGATCAAGACCATGACAACAACATCCAACACTGCAGAAGGAAGTACCACCGATACGATCTTATTTGGCAGACAGCAGGTGTAATGGGTGATGTCATGTGTTAAACCCTCTCCTGCATCTTGATGTCACAAGCATGTAATTACACAGCAATAACCACACCTCAGCAGGTCTGAGCACTTAACTGGAAAGTATGATAGTCATATATATATTCAGGTTATTAAAATGAAGACTACCCTGAAACACCTGTCTTAAACACGTGCCTGTCTTCAGTTAACCCACAACAAAATATTTATCATTTAAAAATGGCATTTCTAATCATGTAGCAGCTTTTTTGGATCCTGTTACAGTACAAGGAGATGGAAAAAGCAAGTACCATAGGGCATAACGCAACAACTTTTATTAGTTTGACTAATGAAGTTGGAAAAACTTCATTAGTGCCCTCACGTGCACGTGCCCTCACCCAGAAAGCTGAACAAGCACACACAACTCAAGGAACAACATCACATTTAATGGGCACTTCAATGAGAAAATACACACCTAACAGATGAGCTTTCAGGTGCACGTGCCCTCACCCAGAAAGCTGAACATTCATTAGTGCCCTCACGTGCACGTGCCCTCACCCAGAAAGCTGAACAAGCACACACAACTCAAGGAACAACATCACATTTAATGGGCACTTCAATGAGAAAATACACACCTAAATGTAAAAGCAAAGTTTCCTAAGAGTAATAAGTCAACTGGCTGATAGGGGAATAGCTAGGAAAAATGTTAGTGGAATTACAGTCTTTATGCTGTACCTGACACCTTGTACATCCCAGCAAACGTTCATTGCTTTTATCCACACCTGTCTTTCTGCTTCTCCATGATTCACAATTGTTTTGCCCTGTTCCTGTACAGCACAATGGCAATTTAGATTCAGGTATATATATATATATTATTTATGGACAACAGTATGGAATTTAGACTCAGGTATATATATATTATTTATGGACAACAGTATATCATTGGTAAGTAAATAAATGCCAATTCAAACAAGTGTCTTGGATACAAACAACAAAAATTAAATCCCTGCTCCAGAAAAACAAGACCTATCAGAAGTGTAGAGTCTGCTTTACTAGAGTGCGTCTCCGCCTAATTGCTTTAAAAAACCAAAACCCCAACAAACTAGGGTGCACAGCCAGATAATTACTAGAGTGTCTTGGATACAAAAAAAACCAAAAATTAAATCCCTGCTCCAGAAAAACAAGACCTATCAGAAGTGTAGAGTCTGCTTTACTAGAGTGCGTCTCCGCCTAATTGCTTTAAAAAACCAAAACCCCAACAAACTAGGGTGCACAGCCAGATAATTACTAGACTTTCAACTACACTTTCAACCCTAAGCATCAGCTGGCTTGTCTCCTATAAGTCTGAAAAACTGTTCTCAATTAAGTTATAAGTATTATAGTTCTGTGAAGAACTATCCAGAGAATGTTCTTACAGAGCAAGTACTTACCTAGAACAAAAGCAATTTACTGAAATGATTTGTTGTAGTTTTTCTAAGCTACAAGAAGAGTCTTTCTCCTGTTGCCATTAAAGCCTCGAACTTGCAAAACTCAGTAGATAAATTTTACTTACACGACACTAGGAGTGAGGATTAAAATTAGGATTTAGAAGGGGGATAGAAATAAAATGCTTAATAAAAAGTCCCAACTTATGAGTGCTAAGAGTGAAACAAAAGCTTTTAAAAAGTTTTACATTTTCAAAGTCAAATACTTAAGTTGGGCACCAACGTTAATCTATTTCAAGAGCGTAAAGAAAAGTGACTTGCCAGTAACTCTAGTTTTCTTAGCCTTCCTCTTCCACATCCTGCAGCCACACCGGTCCCCGCGGCCTGCGCCGCATCCACCCACGGGGGAGAGACACACTCTGCCGTGAGTCACACACACACACACGACACTGCCCCTCTCCTACACTCAGCAGCTGCCTTAAACACCAATTAAGCCTCGTCACTCAAGACAGAAATGGAAACAAAATAGTATAGTACCAAGAACCTTCAGACCTAAAAGGGGCATAAGAGGGATGAACACGCTGGAAGTGCAGGTAGCAAGTGAGGTGAGAGGTATTTTTTTTTTTTCTTCGACAGAAATGACCATTCTCCACTTTGCAAAGCAAGCCCATCTTCCTGGCACACAGCTGTACAGCACAGATCCCACGGGAGGCCTTTCACAGCTGCAATTCTTAAACATTACGGTAGAATCCACTGATTCGGTTTGATCCAGACATTATGAAAATATATAAATTTGGCAGCAGATACCTCACTTCCTCCTCCCCAGGTGGAAGCAATAGTTTACAGGGAACAAAGCCAAGCAATAGGAAACAGCCGGGCAATATCCTCACAAATAGACCTGGATGAGTCTCCTGGGCACACAACAGATTTCCAGGGAACTGCAGGTTAATATTTTAAAAAGCCGTCCACATCCTGCAGCCACACCGGTCCCCGCGGCCTGCGCCGCATCCACCCACGGGGGAGAGACACACTCTGCCGTGAGTCACACACACACACACGACACTGCCCCTCTCCTACACTCAGCAGCTGCCTTAAACACCAATTAAGCCTTGTCACTCAAGACAGAAATGGAAACAAAATAGTATAGTACCAAGAACCTTCAGACCTAAAAGGGGCATAAGAGGGATGAACACGCTGGAAGTGCAGGTAGCAAGTGAGGTGAGAGGTATTTTTTTTTTTCCTTCAACAGAAATGACCATTCTCCACTTTGCAAAGCAAGCCCATCTTCCTGGCACACAGCTGTACGGCGCAGATCCCACGGGAGGCCTTTCACAGCTGCAATTCTTAAACATTACGGTAGAATCCACTGATTCGGTTTGATCCAGACATTATGAAAATATATAAATTTGGCAGAGATACCTCACTTCCTCCTCCCCAGGTGGAAGCAATAGTTTACAGGGAACAAAGCCAAGCAATAGGAAACAGCCGGGCAATATCCTCACAAATAGACCTGGATGAGTCTCCTGGGCACACAACAGATTTCCAGGGAACTGCAGGTTAATATTTTAAAAAGCCGAACGAAACTCTGTTTGTCAAAACTAAATTACCCTGTAACTTAGTTAGCCAGGCATTCTTCTGCTCCGGGACAATCCTCTCACAAAACATGTTGGCAAATAGATATGTGACAGAATTACTGCAGGGGACAGTTCTGACAAGCAGAACCTGACAGCACACAGTCCTTAACAAGTCTGCGACGAGATTAACAACCCAAGGTGACACGGGCTAAAGGCAAGTGATCAAAGCCGTATGCTCCCTGTCTCACAGAAAATTTCAAAGACTCTGAAATTCATCAAAGGATTGACCACTTTACCTGATCCAGTCTCAGAGAACACCTCCTGTGTTTGAGAAAAGCAGATGCTGAGCTGTCACAAATTAACCAAGGCCGCGGGTAACATTTCCATGAGGTTCCCAAGGACAGTACTCATTCATGAAGCGAGGATGTCAAGTACCTGACTAATGAGCAACACTAATAACCTCTGAATGCAAAGAAACTTCTCTCCATGGCAACCCTTCACCAGTCACCACCTCGACTCATCACCTCTATAGCATGGTCCTTCCTGCACGTTTACAGGCGTAATCATCACCCAGTCAGGGTGAAACCATGCGCCAGGAGGGTGATTCCCAACCCCACAGCACAGGATTCCAGCACACGAGCGTGTCTTTGGGATGGGGACAGTGTCAGAAGCAGGAAACTTCTCAGCCAAAGAGATGAAACCCACCACAACAAAAACCAGGGATCTCGTAGGATAGAGTCACGTTCTACAAGTGGGTGTCATTAATTAAAAACTACAGAAAAGCTGTGGCTTCCTCAAGGACTGAACTCACAGTATCTCCAAGGAGGCAGCACAGCACTTGGGCTGCTGCTGGGACTGCTGCAGAATTCTGAAGAGTAACTTCCCACGGAGGAAAAAGTTCAACCTTATTTAGTTCCTGGGATGGGAGCTGCAGATCAAACACCCTCCATCAGAAGAGGGCTGTGATGAGAGCCTGTAAATACACTGGACCTTCTTTTGCTTAGAAACATCTCTCCTGTCATCACATTCCTCCCTCCAGAAGAGTAAGATCAGGACAGGACAAGGAGGGCTCACAGAACTGATGCACCACATCCCACTTGTGAGCAGAGCCAGCCAAGACCGCAAGGTGTAAGAACAGCTCATGCACGGTCACTCAGAAGTCATTGCCACCTTGAGCACTTGCAGGGAGAAACAACCTTCTGAAGGTGAGGAAAGGGGAAAAGAAGAAGAGGAAAGAGGACAAAACCAGAGTGTTCAAACACAGATGACTCAAATTTCTGCAGTAAGAGACAAAGGAATGCATCAATATCAAAGCTGAGACAGACCTCATGCTCAGGGGCATTTTCAGTGGAAAAAAAAAAATAAATCTAGTTCATTTATGGCTCTGGTCCTGAGCTCTTGGAATTGAAAGATTACTGAGGACATACAGGAACAATCCATTGTTATTTCAAGATTTTAATAGTATGACTTGATTTTACAGATGGATCTGGAGTACTAGCCCCTATCACTCCTAGCTGGCATGAATGCAACCCAAATTTCCTTCTCTTCTCCATGACATTGGTGTAACAAGTCTTACACAGCCCCCTGTCAGTCATGTTGCTTCATCCAGCTCCTTCTGTTTACTCCTTAGATGGATTTCCAACCAACATGTCCAAGTTTATGTTACCCACTTGTATCTACCACCCTACCCCCATTCCTCCTGCTTCCATCCTTCCCTGCACTCCCTTTTCATTCCCGTGATTCTACACTAAGCACTTGCCAGCACTTCTCATGTCACCTCTACCACAGGATTGCTGAGGAGACATTTAAGTAGGAGACTTGAAATTTGTTTAAGATCTTGGAAAGCATTTTATTTCGCCACTAAAACCACGCAAGGCTCTTGTAAATAACCATTCATCCTTATTAGTTCAAAGGAAAGTACTATTGATGCACTGCTTGAGTGTGAAGTGATTCATGTTTGCTTCTCTAGAAACAACACTGGATTGCAAAGACTTCTGGCTCCCTATCTTGAAAGCATACTTTTACAGTAATTTGTTTCTGACTAGAAAAACATTTTCTACTTCAATTCTTCAGGATAAGTTTTCCATTTAAAATAAATAAAATTACAATAAAAATAACCCATGGAAGATATTTCACCTTGCAAAGGGTGTTAAAAACATTTACTTTTCAAGATGCTATTAAATTACCAGCATTTCATTGGAAATGAAAGGAAGACTTTGCCACAAAAGGACTGTTACAGTGATAAAATGATAGCCAGCATTAAACTTTAATAACAAAACTTGTTTCCAAGTCTGAACCTGAATCATAATTCTTCTTTTCTCCTTTTCAGAAGATAGCACTATAAGTTTTACCAACAGTATTTTATTATTAGTGCTCCACCACACACACAAGGCGGTTTAGAGCCTTTTTTTTTTTTGGCACTGTGCCCATCACTCACCCGTAACGGCATCATAAAACTCTTCTTCACTATTCATCCTTCAGTGTGAAATCTCTGCACGGCCAATCCAGCTTCCTCTAACGCATCGTTGAACTTGATTTAGAGATTAAGTATCTGCGTGCTGTCAAAGTCTTCTTTTGCAAATACCCAGCTGCTTTAGATGATCTATTTGACAAGAGAAGGAAACAGAATTAGCAAATTCCGCGTTTCTTCTGCTCACAAACATGCACACCTGACAAATACTAATTTTCCTGCTTCTTCCCATGGTAAAAGATGAATGCAAGAATCCATAAGTAAACAGCCTTCTTTGATACCCAAGTCATTGGGAAGATGAATACTACCTACCCCGGGAGCAGCTGATGTACTACACCAGGCTTCTCTCTACATAAACACATCAAACACATTACTGTAAAATATACCTTATTTACTGCAAGCTACATTTCAGGCAAGTACAACCAGAAGGAGCAGAGAACTGAAGGAAGAAAAAGACAGCTAGTAAATCAAAAATTCTCCTCTTCAGCAAGAGGATAAGCCTTATTGCATCCTTAACCAAAAAAGCCAGGAACAAGAAACAGAATCTTATATCTCAAAAATCTCACTGCTGCATAAAAACATTGGGCCTCATCATACATCATGCAGTCAGGATCTAGCGAGCATTAGGGAAGTTTTGTCAGGCTGCTGCTATGAATCCTTGAAGAGACAACTGGAGATTTTTCCCTCTAGAGGGAGAATGTAAAACACCCAACAAACTTGTTCTCAGGAAAGCCAAGCACACTGCAAATAACTTACAGATTTATGAAGCATTTCAGCTCTACTTTATGGAGACACTAAATTAGAGATTTTCCAGATGATTGGCAATAGTGTAACAAACATTTTTACTTCACCCAATTTTTAGTCAAAGGACAATAATGAGAAAACTTAGCTTGCACTCCTACAAATGTTCATCAGGTACCAGCGAGGAGCCAAGCACCCACTGAGGAACGCCAGCATGGCAATGCTATTGATACCTCCTCCAAAACAACCTCAATCTGTCACTCTCAATTTTTTATGATCCTTGAAGATCGCACTGCTTTTGTGACAGTAGTTTTTCCAGAGTAATTATAACGTGCACAATTCCATTCCAATTAAGAGAAACAAAGCCAGAAGCGCACTCCACTCTGAGCAGAAGAGTTTGCCGTGTTTGAAGCCAATTCCTTCTCTCTTCCTCTCTGCAAGAAATCAAACTGCATGATTCCTCCCTGTATTTTAAGTCTTTTTACCTCACTGCCCAGGACAAAAACTATTCAAATGCCTCACACACATAAAATCCTTCCAATTTGCCATTCAGAAGGAGGAGCTAAAATAGCCTGGTTTGGAACTCATCTAAGTGAATGAACATCGAGTTTGCCTGGAAGTGTCACGTCTGTCAAGGTCAGGTATCTCAGTTTGTCATTTTTCCCCTAGGAACTCCCTATTTTACATCAATCTCTGCATGATGGTGAGTATCTCAGCTTCCACACAATCTGCAGCAATTTCTCATTTACACATTCCCATCACCACAAGGCCAAAACCTTTATGCAGCTGCTTCTCCTGACTGCTGCTGCAGCGCTGACGCAATTGCTCTCAGCTGGACGAGCTTCCTTCCCTTTTTACCCTGTGCTGTTGTCCAGTCACAGACCTTTAAACCTTCTTCAACTTTCTTGCCCATCAACTTACTTTTCTCAAAGCGCTGCATTCTCCTAGGCAAGGATGCAACAACTCAAAACTTTAACAAGTCAGATACAAAAAATAAATAATAATAAAAAAATGCTTGTTCATACCAAAGCTGCCATCGGTCTTACAGTTTCCTCAAACTTCCCAGCCCTATCAGCAACATCTCTGGAAGCATCTCTTCCAAGGTCTCCAAATATGCCATATCTTTGCAGAAAATCTGTCCTTGAGGATACAACTATGTAAATCTTTAAACAGGGGTTGAAAGAGGGAATCCAAAGAAAACTATTGCCTGAGAAAACAGGAACTCTCAGGACAACTGTTCACCCCAGCAGCCATTACCACCCTGCTAGTTTGCCAAAAAAGAGATTACATCCTTAACCCTCCAAGTTACTGTATCCTTGAAGATTCAAGACATTCTCAGTTTCAATTGTCTCCAAGTATTGCATCCTTCTAGAAATCAGCAGCCAGTATTTCCAGAAAGAAACTTGAATCTGCATAAGATCCAGCCCTCTCACAATCAGTGCTACAACTCCCTCATTTTCCCCATGTTCTCTTCATCTTCCCTTTCTATGCTCAGTCTCTATTTTTTATTTAAGCTCTTGCAGCAGGACTATCCTATTGCTGCATAGAGCCCATGTGGTGGGATGCTGTTCTGAAACAGCCTTCTATCTACCTGCAACACATAAAAAGCTAAAAAGGAGCCAGTTGAAAACCCAGCCCCATTCAGTTCAAACACAAAGCTCCCTCAGGGTCCCTCCCCTTATGCAGCAGAGATGCTTCCCAATGGCAACTCCAAGGCTATAGTCTAGTATAGAAGGCACTGAGGAATAAAAAGTACGACTTAAAAAACACTCAGTTGTTTTATCATGAAGAGCCGTCGAGTAAACAAGGTCATAGAGACGAGTGCCAGTTTCTCCTCACCCCCTCCTGCACAATAATAATGGCGTTACAAAGGGCCTGGTGAAGTGGAACTCCATGGCACAGCCAGCCCTTCCACTGCACAGACAATGATGCTTATCCCATAACAACACTCACCGAGTACACGTGAAATAACTAGAATCAAAGACTTGAGTTAACCGAAAGCAAGAATTATGTTGTGCTCTCCCTCTGGATACGCCACATCTTCAGCTCATTGTTATTTGAAAATGAAAGTGCAGTGGTATCCCTGTAAATTACACACAAGGTTTGTAACTACTACCTAAAGAACAAAATACTAATGGAAGTCACTTTAAATAATAGTCACCAACTCTCCTAAGGTGTTAGGAGCATTTTCAAAGGGATAAGGTAACATATTTTGCAGAGTTATACTAGGAACAACTTAATGCTCATAGCAGTTCTTCTATTTATCAGAGATTAGCATGAATTTGCACATAGCTGAACACACAATGATAACAACATTTAGCTTTCATGAACCAAAAAGCTCAGATTAAGTCCTTTTCTCTCTCTAAAAGGAACAGCAACAAGTTACTTTCAACTGGGTTGAAACGCCAGAAGACAAAAACATCCTGTTTGCTTCATATTCAGCATTTGTAATCTGTATTTCCTCCTCCATGTCCATCATGTACCCAGAAGAACTCATTTACACACTAACAACTGCAGTTAACAGATTTTCTCAATCTTGCCATTCAGACCTTTAGGAGTTTAGGACTAACTACCATTCTGGAAAACCTTTCTTAAAGCATAAACATCAGAACACGTTCACATCTTTTAGTCCTACAGTGCAGAAGAAATACAAAGCATATTTAGGTATTTTCTTACATACAGAGTGATCATCAGGAATGTAACACCCAGTTTTCCATACAGGACTTCACTCGGTTGTAGAAAACACTATTTCAGCAATAAGGGTTTGCTGATAAAATTATCAGGATAAAATGATCTTTACCAGCCAGTGCCACCAGGCTGGGCAAGGGTACTCAAGGCACAGGCAACCAGAAAGGTGCTTTGGCCCAAGGATTGCAGCCCACCTGCACTGCCACATTTATGACCAAAGAAAGACTGGATATAAAGCATTTTATAAATAATAGGAAAAAGCTGTAAGTAGAGGCATATTAAGAAAACTGGAAATACATAATTTAGAGATGACAACACAACCCTGACCACAAGCAGCCCAGATTTTGTGGTTTACAAGATAAGCGTCAAAGCACATTTATTTCCTCATATTTTAAGGCTAGGGATTTGTATAATACTAATTGGATTTACTATGGGATTTGTGTGCATGAATAAAAACTGCCACATTTATTTTTATTTTTGTAATAGATTGACTTCCCTGCAGGAGAGATGCTATTTTTGAAGCTCAAACCAAAAGACAACAGATAAAACATCAAAAAAAAAAAAAAAGGATAATACCCATCACAACAGAACAACTTCAGAATTGATTGGTATTTCTGTACTGTGGCCTGTGTTACCTGATATTTTGTTCTGACAAATTCTCCGTACTAGGTTGTCCAAAATATTCAGAGTTCTATTTTACTCTTTGAAATTACATTTAAAGTGAGTGCCAAAGCAATTAGCAGAAAACATCACAGTTTAATATAATTTATTGAAGCAATTCTTGAACAAGTTATTTGGGCAGAACCTAGTTTTTCTAGTCTTTTTGTTTACTTGCATGCCAATGCCTACAGTGCACAAAACTAGACTAGCAAGAGTTAAGCTAAGCAGAGCATGAGAAGTCGAAAACTTTTAAGAGCTTTTGGTGTCTTCTCATCAAAGGAGTAAGATTTTGGTTCCTCTGAAATAAGCTTTGCACCTTAGTGATGTTGTAAAGCCATACACAAAGAGGTTAAACAAGATATTATGTCATCCAACAACGCAATTTAGAAATGCTGAAATAAGAATGCCATGTCGGTCCCACGCAAGTAACCCCAAAACATGAACAGGTCAGGGACAGAAATACAACTTACTGCCAGTCACCTGGACACAACCTCTGGTTTGTGCTTTTGTTATCAAAAGGTCTCATCGGTGCCACACAACTGGTCAAAAACAGGTTCCTCATTAAAACTCCTTTAAATTGTCACAATTTATCAGAAAAGATTCACCCATCCCTGTATGACCATGGACAGTCTTAAAGGGCACAAGAATGTTCTGCAAGGCCAAAGGACAGAACAAAGTATGCAGTTGCAATAAATACTGCTGAAACACACATAAAAACCTGCCCAACTTGAAATAGGTTCTACAGAGAGGAGGGAATGACTGGGACTGACACTGCTTTTCATCTGTCACAGACAGACAGGACTGCTCCTCAACACTCATGGCAAACCAACAGTCACAGCACGGACTGAGACAGACCCTGAGGGGCTCATTCTCAGGAGAAAACATGCTTTTCAGGGATCTTTACAGCCTCAATGCAGAGCCTGTAACTATTCATCCCACCTACACTAGGGTGACAGCTATGGTCCCATGACAAAACAAGGAACAAAGTCATCCCATACCTGTCAATCAGCTGGTTATGAGTCATGTCAAAGTGTTGTGTCAAG